CACTGATTTTGATTTAAGAAGAGCGCGGATCTTACGCCGGAACAGCAGATCGTCACTGCTTATCCTGATGTAACTACACATGAGATTGCAGAAGATGATGAGTTCCTTGTGATTGCTTGCGATGGTATGTTTCAATTTTCCGGGAGAAAGAAAGAAAAAGAAAAAAAAACCTTTTTTATGTTTCCTAACGTGCTGTTGACAGGCATCTGGGATTGCCAGACCTCACAGGAGGTTATTGAGTTTGTTAGACGGGGTATTGCTGCGAAGCAGGAGTTACATCTGATTTGTGAAAATATGATGGATAATTGCTTGGCTTCTACTACCGAAGGCGGGGGTGTGGGCTGCGATAATATGACGATGATCATCGTTGGGCTGCTCCAGGGTAAGACTAAGGAGGAGTGGTACAAGTGCATTGCAGACCGAGTTGCAAGGGGCGACGGCCCTTGCGCCCCACCTGAATATGGTATGTTTTATCTGGTATATTGGTTCCCACCCTCCCAGGAATATCGTCAAACTAACCCCTCCAGCTGAATTCCGAGGTCCTGGCACCCGCCGTCGTGAACTCGCCGAAGCCCGACGCGCCTATCAATCCGACATCGACCCACAATTAGGTAGCGGTAGTTCAGGTAGAGTCATCCTGCTAGGTAATGGCCGCCAATTGCTGACCCACTTCAACAACGTTGATTATGATTCCTCCGATGAAGAGGATTGTTATAATATGTTCGATAATGACGAGGAGGATGAGGATGAGGATGAGGATGAGGATGACGATCTTGAGAGCCAGGTGCGTAAAGGCGATGCGAAATCCGCTGCAGATGATACCGTCAATGAAAGACCGGGAGGAAGCCCGGCATCCCAACGACAGCAACAACAGCAACAGCAACAATCGAATCGCCAAAGTACACCTAACACGCAGTCGGAGTCACCTGCTGTAATCTCTGCATCCCCATCCTCGACTACCCCCAATGATGTTTTGCCTGGCAAAGAGAAACCGTCTACGTCATGATTTGGTTTTTTTTTTTTTTTTTTTTTTTTTTTTTTTTTTTTTCCTTTCTCCTTCTAACCCATTTGTTCCTTGATTTAACTAGCTACCTCCTTCCATTATTTTGAACCTTTTTTTTCCTTTCCAAATTTCTCAACAGCTTTGCCATGTCTTCTTTTGTTTTCTTTCTTCCCTTTTTTTTTTTTTGTTTTTTGAAAAAATCCAGCTTTTCCCCGGATCCGGTACGGTTTTTTTATCTCATTAACTTTTGTTTTATTTTTAACCCTGAACCTCACAAACCCACTCAACCACTCAACCACGCATACAAACCCTGAGTTTCTTGATGATATATATATAAGTTTTTTTTTTCTTTTCTTCTTTTTTTCGTGAAAGTTCGTCCTCAACTCGATGTTTACCTTGATACTCCTCACCTACCATTATCCCTATTTTCCACTCCGCCATCTCCCCCTTTCCCCCACCCCCTGCCCACTCCCTTGCCCTCCGTACCCACCACACAACATGAAGAAGTGGCCTATCAGAGAAACGGGTGATGCTTTGAACGAATTGAGTGAATTGCGTTGGGCTGTTTCTTGCAATTTATTTATTTTTTTTTTTTTTTCCTTTCTTTTCTTTGTATGCTTTGCGTTTTATGTTTTTTCATTTCTCCTTTATATTTTTTTCATGGCAACTTTGTTTCTGTGTGTCATTTTTTAGTTCTTGTCTTGTCCCTTTTCCCTGTCTCTACATTTTTTTTACGTTATTTTCATTTTACTCTTGCTCTCTCTGTGTGATTAATTTTTGCTCTAACTCCGGTTTACTTATCATTATTACCATCACTTCTTTCATTATATCTATTATATATACATATATATGTGTGTGTTAAGTTCGCTTTCATATATATCCCACAGATGACATTCCCGCGGCGCAGGTCATACAAACCTCGGTTATTTATTAGGAATCATGGATTCGAATTAATGTTTGTCTCTGCCCTTCGCCAGTTCTCCCATCTCGGAAAGGCACCAGTCATTACGATTACGGAGGGGAGAAAAAGATTTGATAGGTCGACGATTCTCCTGGCTGGCGTAGCATTTAGCTGTAGTTAGAGGAGAAAGCGACGCAGCCACTCTCGGCCTCTTGCTATCGCTTTGCACTTTGCACGTTTTGCGCGTGTGGGTGGCATTTTCCTTTCCTTTCTTTCTTCCTTTCTTTCTTTTTTTTTTTTGGTGCTTCTTGCTATTGATTTCCATCCTCAGTAACTTGAACAATTGAACAGAACTAAAGTATGTAGTATGTAAATAGAAGCTCTGCTGTGGCCACGGCTTAGTCATCGTCGCCCTGGGAGAAATCAAAACCTCATCTTTTCCTGTTTGGGCTTTTTCCTCCTCGACAATGCAGCATTCCTCCGCCTACGCTTCCCGTTCGCATCTCCCTCCTATTCTTACACCCAGCATCCGTATCCTTACCAGCCCTCCTCCTCCCGCCGTCCTGGCTAGTGGATCATCCTCCTCCCAGCCAACGCCGAGCCCATCCATCCAGCTGCTCCAACCAGTCACGCACGTCCACCAGGAGCCCGCCGCTCCCTGCTGATTATTATATATTCTTACGCCTTCTCCTGCGGGCTACGGGCCATGGAGTGTATTATGCGTCTCTTCTAGCTTCCTCGCTTGCACATCCTATCAAAACAAATCTCACCGGCTCTTCCCAATACACCCCCTATTTTTTAGTTCGTCGGGTTTTTTTTTTTTTTTTTTTTGACAAGGACAACCTTTTTATTCTCCTAGCTCCCTACGATCCGACCTTGTCTACGATAATCTGCCATTACCCCCCTACTACATTTTTTTTTTTTTTTTAAAAAAAAATAATAAGTAATAAATAAAAGCAAAGAAAGGAAAAGAAGGCTGCTGCTCACCGCATTTGATCCGGTACTTGAGGTTCCCGCCCGCTGCTTCCCATACGTTCCCTCCCAGAAGGAGAGGATAAATATATCAATTTCTAACTAAAAAATAAAGAATAAGATAAAAAAACCAACTTGTTTCTCTTCTCCTCCTTTGGCGATTAGATCATCGCCCCATATCCGCTACCAGGCAAGACAATCCACACAGTCAATTTACCATGTCATCTTCCACCAGCCACTCCGGGAAACGAAAACGGAGCTCCTCTCATCTCGCCGCCTCCTCCATCCCCAAATCCTCCACCACAGACCTTCTCCAGCCCTCCTCCCGCGATGCCTCCGGTGAGGACGCCGATGAACCTACTCCCGCCGCCAACCCCTCAATATCCTCCAAACACAAAAAGTCCGCTCCCTCCATGGACGCCTCGGCTAACCCACCATCCAAACGGCCCCGTACTCGCTCAACCGCAACAGGCAGCACTGCGCCAGCGACACCACACAACGGCACCTCACCATCCAATAAAACCCACGACGTCAGAAACGAAGACCCGGGCGAAGCCTCCGAAACCACGGAGGAGAGCATTAATATCGAGAAGCGCATGAAGCGGCATGCTCGGACGCTGTACCGCACACCGAGCCTGGCGACGACGGTGAGGACGGCATCGGCGGCATCAATGGCGGCGCAGCAGGAGGGCCGTATGAAGCCGCC